TATGTTGCTGGACTCCCATGTAGTCGACCGCGGTTCGTGTCCCTGACCCGGTGGCTTAAAACTCACGCCGGGCGCGTGTGCGTGCGTGCCCAAGATCCCGAGAGGAGAATGGAGGAGAAGGATTGCGGCGTGACCATCCCCCCTGGGGGGGTGATTTCTCGCTTTCTATCTCTCTGTCTCTCTCTCTCTCTGTCTGGCGAGCGCACGCGCCCTATAGTGAAAACCTCTCAAAAAAAAAAAAAAAAGTTAGAACCACTAAAGTGTTTATTCCAGGGAGTGGGTAGAATGAATGTGGGGAGAAGTTAAAATGAGTGGTTAGACACGGTTATTTGTGCCCTTATTTCCTAGAATAAGAGAAAAGGTGTGTCAAACGAGTAATATGTTTAAATTCAATTTAAATAGATAGTATCTTTTCAGAGATTAAACTTGTTATTGGAAATATAACATTAAAATGAATAAATGGAAACTTGCTAAATTTTGAAAGTGCACATTGTATGATATTTTTAAGATTTCCAACTTTCAACTTTAATATTAAAGATAATTAACTTTTTGTACTTACTAATAGTATCAAAACTTTTTTCATTCATGTTAAATAGGTGGGGTTATGGGAGAATTTTAAGCAAAATTTTATTTGACTAGCTATGTCCAATATAATTTTTGAGGCTTATTGAGGCATTTTGTCTTGCCCTGTTAATAGCTAATTGTGCCTCTTGAGACGTCCTATTTTGGGCCAGCAGGTGGCGTGGTTAAAACACCTGGATTTCCACATGGCCAACCACAGTTCAAGTTTCAGACCTGGTGGCTTGAAATTCATGCGAGACCATGAATGTGCAGGTCCAAAATCTTGAGAGAATAGAAGGAAAGGGATTGCAGTGTAGCCATCTCCCCAGGGGGTTGTTTTTCACTTTCTCTCTCTCTGTCTCTCTTCTCTCCAGCAAACACATGTGCCCTGTGGAAAAAACCTAAAATTTTTTAAAAGATGCCATATTTTACTATTGGGTCATCAGAAAAGTCATGACTTATTTTTCTGTGTTTTTCTATGCAAAAATGCATCATGACTTTTCTGATAATCCAATAGTAAAGTGAGACTTTAATATTATGTGTATTTGATGCCTGTATCAAATAAATAAAATGTATTCTGTAAAGGCAGGTTTTGCCTCTTCCTAACTTTATGAACATATCTTTTGTGTAGCAAGTCTTTCAATATATCTTAGTTATTTAAGACTGATGAGCATGAAAAACTAAAAATAATTCTTCTAATGAGAAGTGATATGTATTTGTATATATATTAACATAGTAAAATTTGGAAATGTCAATTACATGAACATCTGTTCTTAAACCTTCTATTTAAAATGCAACTACAAATTAATACCATCACCTATAATGCATACATTTATGAAATACAGTATTTTTTTTTCAATACGTACATATAATATATAATGATCAAATTAGGGTAATTAGCATATTCATCATCTCAAACATTTATTCATTACTTTGTGTTAAGAAGATTCAGAGTCTTCTTTCTGCCATCCAGAAATATATATTAAATTTTCATTAACTGAAGTTACCCTGTTATGCTATCAAACATTAGAATTTATTCTACTTATCTAGCTGTAATTTTATATTCATCAACCAGTATCTCTCAGTTCCCTTCCCTCACCTTCCCAGCCTCTAGAAATCACTATCCTACTCTCTACTTGTTTTTTTTGTTTAGTTTTGTTTATAAGCCAGAAGAATTATGTGCTCACTGGAAGAGAAACAGAAAGGGAGAAAATACCCCCCAGTTATACATGGCCACTCTGAAATTCTTTCTCTTGCATTCTCCATCTTGTCAAGATTCCAAACACACATGCATACATATTCAGCATATTTGTCAAGCTATCACGGCAGGGTTTCAAATTGTGATCAGTCATGTGGGATCTGGTTCCTTTAACCACTAAGCCATGGAACTGACTTTCTACTCTCTACTTCTATGGTATCAGCATTTTATTTATGCACATGAATGAGAACAGCAGTTTCTCCTTTTCCATACCTGGCTTATTTTTCTTAACATGATGTGGTCCAAGATGTCCATGTTGCCTCAAGTGATAGGTTTTCATTCTTTTTAATGGCCAAATAGCATTCTTTTGTCACATTTTCTCTAGCCACTCATCTGTTGGTGGACACTTAGGTTGATTTTATATCTTGGCCATTGTGAATAGTGCTTCCATAATTAGAGTTCAGATATCTCTATGGCATACTGATTTCTGCTGGGGCTGGGTTTTCAACCATAGTCAGCCATATAAGATCTGATTCCCTTAACTGCTGAGCTATGGACCTGGTGCCATTTGCCTGGTTTTTTTTGTTTGTTTGTTTTTTGAGAGTTTTTTTTTTTTGCTGTAGGGCACATGTGCTCACCAGAAAGACAGAGAGAGACAGAGACAGAAAGTGAGAAATCACCCCCCGGGGAGATGGCCATGCCACAGTCCCTTCTCCTCCACTCTCCTCTTGGTGTTTTGGGCACACACATACACCCGGCATGAGTTAAGTCACCTAGCCTGGGACTCGAACCATAGTCAACTACATGGGAGTCCAGTAACGTAGCCATTAAGCCAACTGCTGGTCCCCATTTGCCTGTTTTTAAATCAGGTTTTTTTTGTTTTGTTTTGTTTTGTTTTTTTGTACTGCTGAGTTGAGTTCACTGTATATTCTGGTTATTAATTTTTTGTTGGATGTATACTTTGCAAATACTTTTTCCCATTCTGTAGGTTGTGGCTTTGCTCTGTTGTTTCCTTTGCTGAGCAGTTTTTTAGTTTGCATGCACATGAGAGAGCAAACTTTCCGACAGGGGCTGGTCCTGATGCAATCTTTTTTTTTTTTTTTTTCCCCTAATTCTCCATCTGATCAGGATTTTGAGTGTATGCTTTTTAAGCTGCTAGTGCCAGGACTTGAACCCTAGTTTGCCATGTGATGTTTGGCTCTTCTTAAATTGAACCCCCTTAGAAAGCTTTTCCTAAGTGCCCCCACTTGCTTCACTGTCTTCTAGACTTTCAGCCTTTCACTTTTTAGCTGGCCCTATGTGAAACTGTTTGATGTGGAGCTCTCTTCTTTTTTTCCCAAATGCCCCTAAACTTAGTACGCTCAGAGGTATTTCTTAAAATTATTTATACTACCCACATAACTTGGTATTCATTGATTTACTGGTGTTTTATGAATATAATAAGTAAAGATTCTTTTCAAGTACATTTTAAACTGGTTTGCTAGAATCAAAAACATCTGGCAGTGTCTCTGCAAAACAAACTTGGGATTCAAACTGGATACTAGCCCTGGTTAAAACATTTTAAAGCAGGTGGTGTGGTGGTTAAGGGTGCTGGACTGGACTCCCACATGACCAATTGCGGTTAAAGTCCTGGATCTGCTGGCTCGTGCTCGCTCTCTCTCTCTCTCCCCCACCCCCGACCCCCTGTGGTCAGATTATATAAATAAAGTTAAATAAAAGCTTAAAAAAATTTTTTTAAAGCAATTAAATGTGGTATAAGTGTGGTACCAGAAGTTATCTCTTTGTAAGTTGACTTTGTATATAATTCTAGAGAATTTTATTTTTTGCTTTAATATGGTATCAGAGCAACACATGTCGAAAGTAATACATCTTCTGTTCATGTACTTAGTTAAGTAAAAAGTAGTTATAGAAGAAAATGTTATAGGGACCAGTGGGTGGCGTGGTGGTTAAGGCACTGGACACTCCCACATGGCTGACCCATGGTTCAAGTCCCAGGCCTGGTGGCTTGCTTTCTCACTTTCTCTCTCTCTCTGGTCAGAATAAAAGTAAGTGAATGAATAAATAAAGTTAAGTAAATAATTTTTTTAAAAAAGAAAAAATTGTTATAAAAGTAGATCAGCATTGTAATAGAGATTTTATTTTGTCTTTAAGTTGAGTTAAAACAATTTATTTCAAGTTAGCAATTCTACCATCATTCACCATGGTACTGTGTTTTTTTTATGTCAAAATGCTAAGGCTTTTGAATCAGTTTGCACAAAAGTTTCTTCCATTTGTCTTGTGCGTGTATGTGTGTACACACACAATTGTGCCTTCTCTAAGGTTATGATTAAGAAGTAGTAGTAGAAATTTACTGCTTTTAAGAACCTATAGAAAGTAATTTCAATAATGTAAGTGTCCTTTTGTGAACACCTAGAAAAATAGGTCAGTACTTTTTTAAAAGCTGTAATGGGGAATGTTTTATCACATGTACAAAACTAAGTGATAGATTAGACTTTGAACCTATCAGAGTAGTATCTGTTTTAAGCAGTACATTTTTTTGTAAGTTATTATTTGACACGATGTTTTTGGAGAATGTCAGTAGAATGCAAGTTCCTTAAGAAGTAGGGATCTTTTCTTAGACTGCTTGATATCTAACCAGATGTCATAACTCAGTGACTCAATAAACATTTGTTAAGATGGTGGGACCAGCACATGGCGTAGTGGTTATGTCATTGGACTCCCACATGGTCAGCCTTGGTTTAAGTCCTGGACCCAGTGGTTTGAAAAGCACACTAGCACATTTATATGCGTGCCAAGTTCCCGGGAAAAGAATAGAGAAGAATGAATTGTGGCATAGCCCTCCCTCCGGGGAGTGATTTCTCACTTTTTCTCGTTGTCTCTGTTTCTGTCTCTCTCTCTCTCTGATGAGTTCACACACCTTAAGGCTAAAACCTCTTAAAAAAAAATAGTTGGGGAACGGCAGGTGGTCTAGCCGTTAAGGTGCTGGAATCCCACATGACTGACAGTGGTTCCAGTCCTGAACCTCGTGGCTTGCTTTCTTACTTTCTCTTTCTGTCTCTTTTTGGTCAAATAAAGAATGATGATAATAAATAAAATTAAATAAATCTTTTTTAAAAAAAATAGTAGACATTTATTAAGATGGGAAAATGTGTTTTTTTTCCCCCTGACTTTGAGAAAGTTTATATTTACTGTTGGAGAACAACTTTACTCTGATTTTATTTGATTTGTTTTCTTTTTACAGCCCAATCGACAAACCTTCAGATTCTCTCAGTATAGGGAATGGTGATAATTCCCAACAGGTAAGATTTGGATACATGCCACATCATTAGTCTCCCATGTCCCCAAACCAAGGTATTCTATGCAAGTGAATTTTCGAAACAGTGAAAAATATTTTAAATGCAATGTAAAAACATTTTTGATGGACATCTTTATTAAATATACTGTAAGTAGCCTTCTTTTCCTTCACAGAATATATACAGCATAGTTTAATACTTTCTTATTGACTTAAAATTATCATTATGGCTGTATGAATTATTTTACTCTGATAATACATCAGCGTTCCCAGAGTCTGCTAATGGTTTTGGTCTTCATGACCCTACAACAAATAGTCCCAGGATAGCATGCCTTCTTGCTTTTAAGAGTTGTTTCCCTGCTGCATGCTCTTCTTGTCCCTTGCTGTCAACTTTACTTTTCTGTTTGATTCAGAGTGCTTGCCCCTAGCAGTTTTCCTTCCTTCCTTCAAATGACTGTCATCTTGAACTGATGAACCAGACTAGCTGATCAAAATTGTATCCACTTTGACACTTGAGATGCTGATTGTTAGAACATGCTTTGTGTCTCTGCTATTCAGGGATCTATTTTTCTTGCTATTTTTTTCACTGCTTACATTTCTGTATAGCTTCTTACATTAGCAAAATAAATATCCTTGTAATATCTTCAGTAAGAAATGGCCAGTTACCAACAGTGTATGTGAAAACCTTAGCGAACTATCAATAAAATACTGTGGTTTTCTAAACCATTCACTCACAAATTCCATAAAAGATTTAGAAAACTTCTGTACTGTGCCTAGGTTACTTCACATAACATAATGTTCTCCAGGTAGTATTTTATTCTTTTAAATTGTGGAATAGTATTCCATTGTGTCTGCGTGTGCACACACATTTACGCTGTATTTTAAATTTACTTTTCTCAATTGTTAGAGGACATGCCTTCCTGTGACAGAACACCTCTGAGTGGCACATGGTGTGCCTCAGTCTTTTTTCTTTCATTTCTTCATCGTGTCAGGATTTGAGGCACACACACATATACACACATGTCTTGGGTGTTTTTCAAGCCAGAGGCTGAGACTCCAACTGTAATCAGCCAGCTACAGCACTTAACCACTGTAGCAGTGACTGACCCTTGCCACATTTGTTTTTTAAATCTTTTCATCTGTTGACTGATACTTAGGTCAAGTTTATATTTTGACTGCTGTGAATAGTGCTGCAATAAACTTGGAGTGCAGATCTCTCTGTAACATACTGACTTACTTTCCCCTTGATATAAAATATTGGACTAAAAATGTTTTTAAAAACTCTTGCAAGGCTTTAAATGTCTTTTTTTCCCTCTGAATTTTCAGTGGTAGTATTGATCAAAACCACATGTATAAGTTTAGATTTTGATTAACAAACTGTTAAACAGGGGCCAGCAGGTGGTGTGGTGGTTAAGATGCTAGACTCCCACATGGCCAACCATGGTTTGAGTCCCAGACCTGGCAGCTTGCTTCTTTACTCCCCCCCACCCCCATCTCTGGTGAATGTACATGCCCTATAGAAAATTTTTTGGGAAAATTAAATTAAAGTAATTTTTTCTTTTAAATAATTATGTGTTTAATTCCATTTGTTATTATTATTTTTTTAGTTTGAGCAGACAGAGACAGAAAGAAAGTAAGGGAAAGTAAGAAAGCAAGCCGCCAGGTCTGGGACTCGAACCACGGTCACCATGTGGGAATCCAGTGCCTTTATCTACCATGCCACCTGCTGGCCCTTAAAGTAAATAATTCTTAAAAACTGTTAAATGTTAAAACAATATTGGAAATGTTTCTCTTAATGGAATGTATAGGGCCATTTAAAAAGTATTTCAGGTATTCCTAGATATTACCTACTGGTAAAGTGGGACAAGTTTCAGCAGTACTCATAGTATGTTTTTAAAATTTTTCTAAGCTGGAAGTGCTGAGACATCTTGTTCATCAAATAAGTAGTTGGAGGAATTAAAGTATTGGCACAATATCACTCAAGTCTTTGAATTCTTTCTGAATTAAATACCTAAGAATCATCGGCAGAGTT